AGAACAAAGATACTTGAGGCAAGAAACTGAGGGCTACCTTCAATCATTGATTCGCTGCCTTCTCCTTTGATCTCCCCACTGAAATGTACCGCTATCTATTTCGACTCGCTTTTGCTGAACCGAAAGCCGTTTTACGTCATGCCTTTGTTTTTGCTTCCACTCAATTCATTCTTCGATTTGCCATTTGCACAAAACATGCAACATGGAGCTGCTTCTTACAGGTCATTAATAATCGTATCTGCCAACAGAAATGAGCTCAATGCCGAACTCTGGGAGACTCCTACCAGAACTGGGAATTCTTGTTATTAGCTGTACTTCGAAATATCGTTGTCACTCCTCATGCATGTTTTTGGCAAGCTAAATAAACTTTTCTTACGCAAGGCTCTTTCTCATGATCAACTCAGTTGTCTACCCACGTATGCGATCGAAAGCTTTTTCCAGGTCTAGAAACACCGCGTCAGTGTCCTTGCTGCTTTTCTGTAAGTTTCATGGTCTGGTTTGAGATGACATCGACGGTTTAACGGCGGGGCATAAAGCCAAATTGGTTTCCGGTGATATCGACTTCCATCCTCACCCTTTTGAACAAATCTAATTGCCATCTTCTAGGCTAAAGTGCAGTCTATCTACGGGATACTACGCATACGACTACGATGAAAGCACCAAACAGCATCCTCGTCTGCAGCATTAAACAGTACCTTTAGGTCAGAGTACTGAAATGAAGCTAACTTTATATTTAAGTAAAAGTTCAACAACAACAAAAAACTAACGCTGATTTGCGACGTTCCTGGCAAAACCACTTCCTTCACGTCGTCTTCGAACATTTGCGTAGGTTTACACGGTACGTCCCACAAGTCCTTACACTCGCCGATATCTTCTTCTCTCAACACTAAACGGGACTACATTAAAAAAATATACGTCTACTTAAGTCAATGGTAAATGAGTAATTTTGCAAGAAAGTAAAAAAAAATAGGGACGAAACTACAAAAAACATGCATGATGAAGGAATGTAAGAAATTAAGCCTGTAAGCAAATATGCTTGTATGTAAAATAAACAAGTAACATAGCTAAGAAGGTAACAGTAGTTAAATAAATAAGAAGCAAGTAGGTAAACAAGAAGCGGAGAAAATAAGCAGATACGTGAAAACCAAATAAGAAAGTCACGATTTCAGTAGGAATGAATGCAAGTAATTAAGCAAATATGTATTGCAGTAAATATATAAGTGGACATCTCGTGTTCTGCTATCGAAGGGAATAAATAGTAAACTAATAACAGAATAAATTACGTATATATCATTAGCATAGTGAGCAGGTACATGAGTGAAAGATTCCGAAATAAAAAACGTAAGTAGGTAAGTTGGGCTTGACAGTAGTGCTGAGGCAAGATCTGATGCCGCCGAAAGCGTTCACAAGTTGCAGATAGTAAGATAATCCTCAGGTATGAGGGTTAGCTGAGAAATAAGCGGAGAAATCGACGAATAAGCAAACGCGGACAAAATTACGACAGTGTTAAGCTGGTGCGCCGAGTCAACTTCTGGCACAATTGGATCTAAAAGAACCGCAGGCCCGATGACAGAGGGTGACATGGCGAGTACACGTCGCCATCAAATGAGCATGACACTAACCTCAACGAGCCGTAGCCGGTTCCCAGCCCGGTTCAGAAACATATGTAGCGCCAGGCAGGATGACGGCCTTAAAAACCAATATCAAAGCCAATATTTGAGTCAACCTACCTCAGATCCGCAATTTTATGAAGATCCCCAAGACGGCGCAAAGCAGCTGTGACAAATGGACAAAGGGATACTGACATGCCGAAAACGATGCGAGAAAACAGTAATAGCCACTTCGAACATTGGAACAATGACAAGAAGAAGCAGGGATACTCCTCTCGCAACAAAAGATCAAATCGTTCGCATTCAGGAGATGAAATGGAGAGGCAAGAAGTCGAAAGAGACAGGGCAACGCCATAAACTTATTTACTGTGGAACATCAAGCAGAACGAATAGAGTTGAAGTGGTACAGAATGAAGCGACCAAAAATGGGGTATTGGAAGTCAAGCGAGTTAACGATATAATCATGGGCGTTAAATTGACTTTAGAAAGTGCCCCCCCCCGCAGACTGTTCAGAATGAAGCCGAAAAGCCCACATTCTGGGAGAACCTAGGGACTGCACTGTAAATCATACTGAAACGAATCGAGAGTGACCTGAATGGGCACTTCGAGAAACATCGAAGGGGCTACGGTAGGATTCACGGCGGAAATGGACATCATATGTTAAATAAAAGAGAGAACATCTTGCAGCTAGCATTTGCATATGAACTGGCTCTGATAAACACATTCTTCCAGAAAAGAAAAAACCACCTGCTAACCTTCAAGAGCGGGCAGAAGAAAAGTCAGATCGACTACTTCCTGCTCAGAAGTAACGAACTTAAGAACATCAAAGATTGCAAGGTTATCCCCAGGAAAACTATCACAAGCCAGCACCAGCCACGGGTCTTAGATCTATCTGTCTCTGAAACAGCCCATTCAGATGGTGTGCAAGCCGGCAACCTCAAAGACAAAGTGGTTGAGGCTCGAAAGGAAGCTGAAAGAAGCGCTCAAAATGGAAGTTACGAAAGAATTGACGAAGGAAGACTGAAACAGGAAAGCGGACGCAGCATGGGAGCGGGTGGCCAGCAGAATCATAGAGAATGCCAGAGATTTAGTCAGAAAAACAATAGGCACAATGCTATTATGCCATCCAAAAAGAAACGTCGTAGTGGAATGCGAACATTCAGGGCGACCCTACGACATAAGAAAGAGCTGTTCAAGAAATGGCAACTGTCCAACAGCGTGGAAGACAGAGTACAATTAAAATTTGCCATATCAAGGAGGGATACAGAGAAGGTCTTCGCCGAAGCAAAGTCTTCAGCGTGCAAGAGCTCATACGAAAACCTGGCAGCAAAAGAAGGGGAGAAAGATATCCATCGCATAGCTAAAGCCAGAGATAGAAGAACATGAGAAGATGTTAACGTGAATTGCATAAAAGATGTAAGTATAATGGTGCTGGCAGACGAGCAAAATATTCCTATCGATGACGACGGCAACTAGAAACGCTACTAAATGGGTTTGCTTCCTCTACGGGAGAAAGTGTAACACACCTTGAGCAGAACGAAAAATAAAAAGGCCTTTGGCCGGACGGAGTTCCCACAGTAGCATGGAAAGCAGGGGGCAAGAAGGCGTGGCTTGGCTCAGCGCGCTATTCATAAAAATTATGGAATGTGAGAAAATGCCAGAATCGTGGAGGCAGAGTATTGTGATGCCAATTGAAAGGGAACAAGCTCGTCTGTGAAAAAAACGAGGTATTAAACATCTTAGTCACAGCATGAAGCAATAAAAAAGGATGCTGGGCAAAAGACTGAGGTGAAAGTTCGACATTACCGCGAACCAAATTAGTCTTATATCGGGCCTGTAAACCACGGATGCCATCTTCGCTTTAGGATCCATCCTTGAAACATTAAGTTGGGAAGACAAGACATTCACATGGTGTTTCTGTATCTACAGAAAGATTTGTCCAAATTCTGTGGCATGCAACCTGGTGGAGCATGAGAAAGAAACTTGTGCCAGAAAAATATGCCAGGCTTGCCAAAGATATGTACTATAGAGTGACATGCGGCGAAACAGAAGAGTTCCCTGTGCGGGTAGGAGTCCATCAAGGATTCGCATTGAGCCCATTCCTGTTCTCGATGGATACAGACGCGATAACTGAGGATCTGCAGGAAGCAAACCCATTGTTGCGCGGTGTTGTGAAAACAGGGAAACAGCAGAATCAAAAAACGAGGCATGGAGAATAGCACTCGAGAAAAATCATTCGTATATGGCTGGCCATTTCACAGAGGAAAGCAGATTGAAAGCCATCAAACAAGTGAAAAGAGAGGGGAGCTTGCTCCCTCAAACTCAAGCAGAAAATTTAGAAGTCGGTCGAAGAAAGGTTGGCTCAAATGGAAAGAAGTGAACGGAACACTTCGAATGTACAAGAACATGCCCATTAAATTGAAAGGGAGGGTGTAGAGAAAGATAGTAAAATCAGTGCTTCTGTATGGAGCGGCATCTTCGGCCAACCTGAGGAGACATGAGCAACAGCGAAACCTCGTTTCAGATACAAACTTGGGAGGCTAATCAGCCTCAAACCGTAGCATTCAGCGGCATCCTCATGTAGGTTACTCTTAAAGTGCTTTCGCTCTGTTTACGCATCACTGGTCATCACCGGGATCTGTTCAAACTGTTGGTTGACATCTATCCGCCTCTCTTGATGCGAACATCGATTACAGAGCATCGTAAGTCAGACGATGATAATTAAATCGATCGACTTCTGTGCACAAGCTTTCCTAAACTACGAGCTCATTGATGTACGCATCGATCCACGAAAAAATTCATAATAGACAGTCCGTTGTTTGAAAAAAAAACCGCAGCAATTTGACGCTGCTATTGTTGAAGTAAAGAGAATCGTTCTTTCCAATGACGCCTTTCCACTTTTGAGTGTTTGCTCCGAGACGCGCACTGAAATCATCCATCAGAATGAAGGACTCCATAGTCGGCACTTCGAGCAGAGCACCTCCTACTTCATCGGGGAAAGACTCTTGTTCCTTCTCCAAATTATGCGCAGTGATCTGTATCAAGGTCAAATCTTTAGCCTATTGTAACTTCAGTAAGAGGATCGTCACTCTGCCGCTTACAGGATTCCAATCAAGGATTATGTCATCCAGGTTGGATAAAATTTATCAGAACATTAACACGGCCTGAGCTTATGAACAAAATAGCTTTCGCCTGAAGAGATTCACAATTCCAAAGCCTTGACACTTCTCTGACGAGAATTCAAACTATACCTGTGCGGGCCAGATTCATTAGTCATTGCTTTTTCTCACTACGTTCCAATTTTTGACTGAAATCCCACGGTCGGTATCGTTTGCGTA